TGAACCCCTGAAACTATTGCCCGGAGATAATCTTTAAACCTTAAACCAAAAATATCCCTGAAGCAATCTAAAAACCAAATAATAGTTTAGCTTAACTAGTAAAAAAGGTCTGCCTTGAGCATTATGCTCTTTTAAGAACTACCTATACGGGATCAAATTGACAACAGCAACTCAAAAGATTAGATAGGAACCTTAGGGGACAGTAAGTTTATGTTAATGAGAGAGGAACAACTCAGAAAATGAGGGTGAGAATGGTTGTACAACTCGAAGAATATAATCAATGTCACTGAATTTTACATGTAGAAACCGTTGAATTGGTGTATGTTTTACTATGTATATTCTCACAATAACAACAAAATAAATAAAACACAGGGGAAAAAAAGCCTAAAGGAAATTAGCTTTTAACACTTAAATGTGTAGAAATGTGAGAGATCCATAGAGAATCACCTCCCAACACACAACTGACTCCTTCAACCTTCCTTCTTTGACATTCCCCACTTCCATTACCCTAGGTCAGAACTTCAATACTTGAGATAGCCTGATTCTCCCTGCTTCTAGTCCGTTCTGCTCTCCATTGTGACCAGCTACTCATCCAGTGACTTTATGTTTCCTTCTGCCTCCATGCCTTTGTTGCTTTCATTCCTTCTCCCTTGAATGCCTTCCTTCCTTCTCTGTACCTATTAAAATCCTACCATTCTCCTACTGGGCTGACGGCTGGGGACCATGGTCTCGGGGGACATCTAGCTCAACTGGCATAACACAGTTTATCAAGAAAATGTTCTACATCCTACTTCGGTGAGTAGCGTCTGGGGTTTTAAAAGCTCGTGAGCAGCCACCTAAGATACTCCACTAGTCCCACCCTTCTGGAGCAAGGGAGAATGAAGATAACCAAAGACACAAGGGAAAGATTAGTCCAAAGGACTAATGGACCACAACTACCACATCCTCCACCAGACTGAGTACAGCACAACTAGATTGTGCCTGACTACCACCACTGACTGCTCTGACAGGGATCACAATAGAGGGTCCTGGACAGAGGTGGAGAAAAATGTAGAACAAAATTCTCACTAACAAAAAAAGACCAGACTTACTGGTCTGACAGAGACTGGAGAAAGCCCAAAGAGTATGGCCCATGAACACCCTTTTTACTCAGTCTTGAAGTCACTCCTGAGTTTCACCCTTCAGCCATAGACAGGCCCATAAAACAAAACAAGACTAAATGGGGCAACGGCAAGGGCAAGAAGGCAGGAGGGGACAGGAAAGCTGGACGAATGGAAATGGGGAACCCAAGGTCAAGAAGGAGAGAATGTTGACATGTCGTGGGGTTGGCAACCAATGTCACAAAACAATATGTGTATTAATTGTTTAATGAGAAACTTATTTGCTCTGTAAACCTTCATCTAAAGTACCATTAAAAAAATTAAATTAAATTTTAAAAAAATCCTACTGTTCTCCCAGCTATAGCTTAAATGCCAGCTGTTCACTAAAGTTTTGTGAGGCCATTCTAGCCCACAGGGCTCTCTCTCCCCTCTGAATGCCACTACCACCTACTGTGTTCTATGTCACACATTTTGGTATTTTATAATTTTGACCCAATGACTATTTCTCAAGGGTGCATTCTTTCTTCTCAAGGACGCTGAGGACCTTGTGGGTAGGTGTCATGTCAATATTTTTTGTACTTCCTTACCCCAACCCTAAAACTAACTACAGTGGTGAGCACAGAGTAAGGGTTTTGTGACTGATCTATAATTTAATAATCCCTCCAGTCACTTTCTCAGTTTAATGTTGCTGTTGTTGTTAGTTGCCATGGAGTTGGCTCCAACTCATAGTACCTTACGTATAACAGGATAAAACATCGCCCAGTCCCTCCTGCACTATCTTCATAACTGTTGGTGTCTGAGTCCACTTTTGCAGCTATTGTGTCAACCCATCTCATTAAGGATTTCCCTCATTTTCACTGGCCCTCTACTTTACCAAACATGATGTCATTTTCTAGTGATTGGCCTTTCCTGATGTATGTCCAAAGCAAGCAAGTCGAAGTTTCACCATCCGTGCTTCTAAGGAACATTCTGGTTGTATTTCTTCTAAGACTGATTTGTTTTGGCAGTCCATGGTATCTTCAATATTCTACACCAACACCACAGATTGAACGCATCAATTCTTCTTCTGTCTTCCTTTTTTATTACCCAACTTTCACCTGCGTATGAAGCAATGAAAAGACCATAGCTTGGGTCAGAAGCACTTTAGTCATCAAAGTGAAATTTTGCTTTTAAAAACTTTGAAGAAGTCTTTTGCAGATGATTGCCCAATGTAATACGTTGTCTAATTTCTTGACTCCTTCCTTCCACCCTGCTACTTACCCACCCTTAATATCTATCGAATAGCCATCTCTTCCCAATCCCAACCTTTACCGGTCACCCTTCCAAGGAGGGGAGAAAAACTGAACTATCTGTTCAAGAGTAGAAGATGAATAAAATCTAATTGTGGGATAGGGGTGGTGGTAGGGTGGGTAATTACTTTAGGGTGGGGAAAAAGGTGCCAGAGTTACTGCAAGACTCAGCTACCTCACAGAGCTCATCTACCCTGAGGTACAAGGAAGGATCTTCCTCCTTTCACCTGGCTCAGTTTGGGGAACCTCACGGCAAAACAGGTCCTGGGAGTTACAGCTCTTTCAGTTCACACATGGAGCTATATCACCAAGCAATATCCCCAGAGTACCTGGATCACAATGGGTTCCAACATCAATCCCACCCTGGGCCCACAATACTTTCAACAAAACACACCCTGGTATATTGAATCACCAGTTCAAACTCCCTCATCTTTATGGTGAGTTTTCTCTCAAGGACCCTCCCTGTTTTTTTCTATCTTTCCATGGACCATTCCTTCAGTCAAAGCCACCCAAGTTCCTCAGACTTCTTTAAGATTCACGAGGGGGAGACTGGAGTCTCTGGGTGGTACAGCCAGCTGCTAACTGAAAGCTTTGAGGTTGAAGTCCATCTAGAGCCTTCTTGGAAGAAAAGTCTGGTGATCTACTTCTGAAAAATCAGCTACTGAAAACCCTATGGAGCACAGTTCTACTCCGACACACTTGGGATCGCCATGAGTCGGAATCAACTCTACGGCAACTGGCTGGCTCTAGGGAGGGATTAGAGTTCCATTATCTTTTCTTCCAGATTTCTTCACTCAGCACCCTGGAACAAAATACAAAAGGGTATTTTTGACAGAGAGGTGACAACTTACACCTCTAGCCAACAAAGGTTAAATCCTAGGCCTTACCCAGCCAAAAACGTCCTGTTACACCCTGTTGTAGTTAAAATAGAGCAGAAGGTAAGAAGTCTAAGGTTGATGGCTGGCCAGTTGAGCAGGGCCTCCCAGAACAGTGAAACCCTTAGGAAAGGGATTTTTGGAATGAAGTGAACTGGGTAACCATAGCCTAGAGTCTGTCCTCAGATTTGTAAACTCAGAAACTCGGTATTATCACTGCTCCTGGTAGATTGATTTGATTTAAAGGAACCAAACTCACAAGAGACAGATGCATAAACCAGTATAACAAGAATAGTAATGAGGACAGGTTAAGGACATTCTCTCCTAAAGGAAAATCTATTTCTATTCAGAAACCAAATAAAAACCAGAAGATTGAGTAAAGGAACATGGAGAAGTAGCAGAGGGAGGTAGCTAGAGGTAAGGGATATTTCTTTCAGGCCCTGGTGAGACCAGAAAAAGTATGCCTGGCCCCACCAGAGTGCAAATCTCTACTGCTGAAATATTTGTATCCAACAGGTCTGGAGTGCTGACTAAATAGCAAATTCTTGCTCTCTGAGTTTCTCTCCTTCTAGGCTCCATGTTGCTCTCTCCCATATTCTCTCTTCATTCTGTACAATTTATTAGACGTAAGCTTTCCTCACTATAGTCACGCATTCCAAACAGGCCTTCTTGAATTTACCCAAATCAGATTATTAATTTGAACTGTTCTTCCCACGTACAAGATACATTTACTGACGATCTTTAGTTCTGAAGTGTTCAATTCATCTGCTTGTCTTATTTCCAAGCTTTTGGAGGGGACCTCACTCTTCCCTGCAGTCTCCTTTATGTTTATTCCACTGACTTTTCCATAAAATAAATATATACATATTTTAAAGTCAATAGCAAAAGTGCAAAATGAAGAGCTCCTTTTAACTGCCACCTACACGACTATGGTTGAACGTAAGCTCAAAGGAGCCAAATTAAATAGCATGAATTCACAGTTATCAGCCAAAGTACTGAAAAAAAAAGGAGAGAGAGAGAGAGAGAAAGAAACAAATGAATTTAAGAAGTTTGGTGAACTCTAGTGGAATAATACCAGGTTAATCTCAGGCCAGCAGCCATAGTGGTACAGTGGTTAAGCACTTGGCTGCTAACTGAAAGGTCTGCGGTTGGAACCCACCAGCCGCTGGCAGAGAAAGATTTACAGCCTTGGAAACCCTATGGGGCAGTTCTACCCTGTCCTATAGGGTCGCTATGAGTCAGAATCGACTTAATGGCAGTGGATTTGGGTTTTTTGTTTGTTTTATCTCAGGCCACTGAAGCTTCAAAAAAACCAAACCCACTGCCCTCGAGTTGATTCCGACTCATACTGACCCTAACCCTACTACTGGGGAGGGTCAGACTGCCCCTCTTGCGGAGGAGCTGGTCAGTTTGAACCACCGACCTTTCGATTAGCAGCCCAGCTGTTAAACCACTGCGCCAACAAGATTCCTACCGAAATCTCAGTGACTGGGAAATCTCAACTCTACCCCACTGGGGAAACTCCACAGCCTCACAGTCAGGATCTGGCGCCTACGAGAACCTTGACGCGCCGGAGCCAATGCCCCGCCCCCACGTTGCCCCCAGGAGTCACGGCTCCCATTGGCTGAGGGAGGAAACGGTAAACTAATCCCCATGGACTTTAACATCTCCACCACCCCCCGCCCCTTTCAGGATCACTTCCGCCGCTGGGGTCAGGCTCCGCCCAGTTTGCCCGGCATCGCTCGCGCCGCTAGAGTCAAGATGGAGGAGTACGCGCGAGAACCTTGGTGAGCCTTTTCCCGCTATCCTTGCCTTTCTCCTGCCCTTCTGCCCACGTCCTCGTTCTCCCCTTTCCAGTCTCCCGAAGTACAAGCCGAACTCAGCCGCAGGCTCGTCGACGTAGGCTTGGTAACCGTGGGCAGCTCGGACTTGAGCGGCCAGTAGGATCCTCAGTCCTGTACCTCCCGGGCCGCGTGAAGCAGCGTTGTTGCCCCAACTCAGCACCCGGTGACCTTGCGGTGGATGGTCAGGAGATCCAGGCTTGGACTCGATGGAGCCTCGGAGCCTCCTGGCAGTCCAGGGCACAGTCGGCGTTGTGCGGGGTCAGTAGTACTCTCGGCTCGCTCAGGTGACCTTGGACGCGTCCGTACGCCTCGCTTTGCTCAGTTTCTGCGTTGAGAGAGGGGAGATAGGCCTCTAAAGCGGTGCCATTTGCTTGAGACCTTATTCTTATCGTGATATGTGTCCGCAGGATGAAGCATTTCAAATGAATAGAACGTAAGCTTTACCCAGAGAGTCTGGATAAGCTCCTTGTAGGCTGGAGGCTCCTTTTCTTGCTTGGAATTCTCCCTTCGGGAGAGGCGGTGCAAAAATTATCTGGAAAAAGAGTAGTTTGTGTTTCCTGAAAAGCCATGAACAGAAATTCATTCATTCATCTAACATTTATTGACTGAGGGCTCTGTGGCCAGACATTGTTAGGCTCAAGGAATAAAAACATGAATAAACCAGACACTTCCAAACAAAACCCGTTGCCGGAGTCGATTCCGACTTATAGCGACCCTATAGGACAGAGTAGAACTGCCCCATAGGGTTTCCAAGGCCATAAATCCTAGGGAGGCAGACTGCCACATCTGTCTCCCGCAGAGCAGCTGGTGGTTTCCAACCACCTACCTTTTGGTTAGCAGCCCAGTGCTTAACCACTGCACCACCAGGGCCCCTCAACCAGACACTTAGATGATCATAAAACAATGTTAATTGCTGTCAGAAGTCCAGGTTACCTGAATTTCAGGGTTCTGGGTCAGAAGTGAAAAATCAGCTCGTGTTATTTGGGCTCATCCACTGTTGTGTAAGAGTAAGAACTGAGGTGTCCTCAAGTTGTGAAAGTGTCCAGGATTTTAAATTCTTTCCTTGCCAGCATATAGCCCTGTTGCTTGCTTTGTGTCCCCTGCCCCTTAACTGGTATACGGGATATATGTTTCAGCCCCTCCCAGCTCTTTTAAACTTAACCTTCACCAAGGCAGTTGTCCCCCTTGTGCTCGGATTGCAGCATTCAGCTCATTGTAGAAGTTGTCACCTGCTCTCTGACAGTGTATAAGGACGCAGGTTGGCAAGAGAATATTTAGCTTTGTTGAGTTAATTAAAGATGTTGTAAGAATAATGGGTTTTCATTTACTAGTCAATTAAGTATCCCCTTTTTGCTTTCTCTTAGTATGTATGTCCTGAAGCAATACAGTTAGTTATCTGGTTAGTTTTGTTGTGAGAATTGCTTTATCTTCTGACTGCCCTGTTTTTATATACAGTAACAGCATTTCCTCAAGTCATCCAAGCTCAAAACTACAAGCATCTTTTTCATACAGTATTTGTTTTTTTGTGACTAACTTATTTCACTCAGGGCTTCGAACCCAATTCGTGTTGAACCGCTGCTAAGAATTTGCATTTCTAACATGTTTCCCGGTGATGCTAATGCTGTCAGTTAGGGACCAGTTTGAGAACCACTAGTAGAGCAGTTGTTCTCAAAATTTATCATGCAAAGGAATAACCTGGGGATCCTGTAGGTTCTGATTCAGTTCATCTGGGGTGGAAATGCAAATGCAAATTCTCAGCGGGGGGTTTGAGTCAGAATGAAGCCCTGATTTTGCGTAGCATGTTTTCACGATTCATCCATCTCGTAGCGTGTATCAGGACTTCATTTCTCTTTATTGCTGAGTAATAGTCTGTTGTATGAATATACCACATTTTGTTTATCCATTCATACACTGATGGACGTTTAGCTTGTTTCCGCCTTTTGGCTGTTGTGGATAGTGCTGCAATGAATATCCTAAATACTTCTTTTTATCATGTGGTCTCCTCAAAAACCCTTAGACCATATGATATAGTGGAAAGAATATGGGACTTCAGAGTACTAGATTTTATATTTAAATTAGTTCTACTAGTTACTACCTATATGTTCTTGGTCTAGTTAGTTGATCTCTCTGAGCCTTGGTTTCTTCACTTGTAAAAGGTTTCTTCACTCATTTTTGCAAAGTTAAAAGATTTTGGTCTATATGAATTAACCTAGCTTTCTTGGAATTCATAGGTTTTATTTGAATTACAGGATACCTAAAACATAGTCGACACTTAATAAATGGTAACTTTTATTACTGTTACTGGTTCTCAGTTGCCTGCATTTGTCTGACATTTACTTTCTTTCGGAGTATGGCTTCAACGTTTTTTTCATATAGCCCATTACTTCCATAGGAACATTTATTTGATTCAGCTACGTTCAGAAACTTTTTCCATACTGCCTTTGTTTTGGACATCCTCTCTTGGAATACTGTGGCTGCTCTCTGCTCTGAATCCTGCCATTCTTCATTAATTTTTTTAAAGCTCATTTTAGTTCCAGGTAATTAGTAAGATCGTTCAGGCAGATCTTGGACTTGTTAGACCTCTACCCTAAACATCTATCAGTGATTTCCATATAATCGGTAAACAAACAAACAAAACCCCATTGCTGTCCAGTCAATTCTGACTCATAGTGACTGTAGACAGAGTAAACTGCCCCCGCATAGGGTTTTCTAGGCTGTAAATCTTTACGGATCTTTCCCCCTTGGAGCAGCTGGTGGGTTCGAATTGCTGATCTTTCAGTTAGCAGCCAAGCGCTTTAACCACTGTGCCACCAGGGCTCCTTATGTTCTGTAGAAGTTAATACTAATTGATTAATCTTAGGGCAAAAAAAGATGCTGATTCTTGCCTCTGGTAAATTGCCAGGGAGGAGGTATATAAAACTGAAGGAATAAAATTTAATGTATAATAAGTTTGTGATAAGAAAACCTCAAGCGGTTCGGTTTTTTTGTTATTGTTGCTGTTGTTAGTTGCTGTTGAGTTGATTCAGACTCATGGTGACCCCATATGTGCAGAGTAAAACTGCTCCTTTGGGTTTTTAAGGCTGTGACCTTTCAGAAGCAGATCATCAGACCTGTCTTCTGAGGCGCCTCTGGTTGGGTTCAAACTGCCAACCTTTCGATTAGTAGCCGAGCACTTAACCATTTGCACCATTCAGGGACTCCTTGGGTATTTTTAGTAGGTCTGAAATCATCCAATTCCCTCCTCCATTCCTGTATCATATCTCTTTTCAATGGAAAGAATGCTTTGATGCAGAAGTCATGGCAACCAAAGAGAACAGTTCCTTTAGTGTGATAACACACTACAGTGTGGATGATAACATAGTTTTGCTTTGTTTTTTAATCATCGAGGATTTGGTTTTTCTGTTAGTCATAAGTGCTTCAGTATCCATAGAGTAAAAAGCTAGCATACTGGATGTTTTGTTTGTAGTTTTAAGTTCCATCATTTTAAAATTTTTATTTTGTTAACTTTTCAATTGTAAAATATAACCCGTGTAATTTTTCTTGTCTTTTAATAATCATGTTGTTGTTGTTGATAGTTGCCATTGAGTTGATTCCAACTCATGGTGACCCCATGTGTGGAGAGTAGAACTGCTCCATAGGGTTTTCAAAGCTGTGACCTTTCAGATGCAGATCTCCAGGCCTGTCTTCTGAGGCGCCTCTGGGTAGGTTTGAGCCACCAACCTTTCAGCTAGTAGTCAAGGGTTTAACCACTTGTTCCATCCATAGCTAACATTTATTGAGAACTATGTGCCAGTTGCCATCTTGAATGTTTTTCATATTGCCATTTAATCCCCAGCACAAACTTATGAGGTATTATGTTCATTTGGTGGATGAGAAATGCAGATTTTGTCACTTGCGGCAGATCGCGGAGCTAATAAGTAGTAAATTAGGATTTAAATTCAGGATTAGAACTAACCTAATAGCTACCTCATATTGAATATAATTCTTTCATCTGGGAAGAAATTTTGGAACTTGATATGTAGGCTCTTCCCACTGCCCAACATCAGATGAACACCCAGCAACATAGACTGAAGATTTGTAAAGTATCTTTTTTTTTTTGAGTGTCCACATAGACTTCCTTGCCTGCTCTTTCCTGGACCACTGTAGCCACACGTGTTATTCCTGTCTCATTCCAGTACTGACCCACCATTCACAGAGGGAGTCACTACTAGTTCATTCTCTTTTGCTTCCCTCTTTATTTCCTACTAATGTTCCTACCATTTTCAAGAAATTTTCTTAATTCTTTGTAGTCCTTCAAAGTGGTGCTTCTCAAACTTTTAATCTATAATCAAGTCGCCTGTGGATCTTGCTAAAGTTAAAACGTAAGGTTTTGGTTTAGTAGGTTTGGAGTGGGAGCTAAGAGTTTGCGGTTCTAATAAGCTCCCGCGTGTTGCTGATTTTGCTAGTCTTTGGCCCACACTTTGGATAGCAGAGCCCCAGTGAATCCTGCTGATTGAATTATCTACTGCATAATGTATGTGGTGGTTCAGTGGTCAAATTCTCACCTTCCACATGAACACCCTGGAGCCCTAGTGGCTCAGTGGTTAAGAGCTCGGCTGCTGACCAAAAGGTTGGCAGTTCAAATCCACTAGCCGCTGCTTGGAAACTCTGTGGGGCTGTTCTGCTCTGTCTGATAGGGTCAGTATGAGTCGGAATCGACTCGATGGCAATGGGTATGTGGGACACCCAGGAAGATTTATGCCTATGTTTTCTTCTGGCCGTCGTACCTCATGCACAGACACACCAGCCGTCTGTACATGTTTGTTGCTGTGATGCTGAACAGGTTTCAGCAGAGCTTCCAGGCTAATAGGAACTAGGAAGAAAGGCCTGGTGATCGACTTGCAAAAATTAGTCAGTGAAAACCCTATGGATCACAGTGGCCTAATTGCCAGCTGATCATGGGGATGACACAGGACCTGGCAGCATTTCATTCTGTCATACATGAAGTTGCCGTGACTTGGGGACCAGCCGCGCAGCATCTAACAATGACTGCATGAGATGGTCATTCTGTACGAGGTCCTGGTTTCTATCGTTCTTGGAAAGGATACAGTGTTTTGACTTCAGGGCCTTGTATTATATTACCTGGCAAAATCAGAAATTCACCAGCAGCAACAGAATACACTGAATTCACAAGTTTATGTTGGCAGGTAGATTACCGATAGGTTCAGATAGCATTTGTCCTTTGGACTATATAAAAAAATTTCTTTTACCTCTAGTGGTTTGAAAGTGAGTTTAACTACTCACAGACTGTTTTATGAGCCAAGTTCCTAGAAGAATAGTTCTATTCTGATCAGAATACTCAAATTTCAGTTTTGTCATATAAGTTGAATGCTACGTTTGGAACCAGGTTTTCAAATTTAACTCTGTTTATTGGATATTAGAGAGTATCCCAATGTGTTAAATGGATCTGAAACAAACTCAATTTCTAAGTGCTTACTTGTACTCAGTAACCCAGAAAGAATTTCAGACTTTTTAAAAAATTGAAAATCTGTTTTCCTCTGTAGTTGTTGACTCTTCCTTCTTTGGGTCTTAGTTTTAAATTGTACTCACTTTGGAGAGCTTACCTTGACCCCCAAGAGACTTGATCCAATAATTGTTAAATGAATGAATAAAGTGCTGTCAAGAGTAGGAAGTTAACGCCAATTCCTTTCCTTCTAGCTTAGATGATTTGGGGCTAGATATGAATATGCTCAGAATCCTTTATGTCTGTTCATAATTTATAGGCCAAATGTTTATTGGTCACAGTGGGCCCTGAATTGGAATCTGTTGCAGACCTTACTGTGTTAGCAAGGAAGGTTTTATGGATTATGACTCCTTTTTCTTTCCCCCTCCCTCTATTCTTAGCCCCTGGCGAATTGTGGATGACTGTGGTGGGGCCTTTACAATGGGTACCATAGGTGGTGGCATCTTTCAAGCAATCAAAGGTTTTCGCAATTCTCCAGTGGTAAGTGGGTGAATATTTTATTTTACCATCATTTGAAACCTCAGTTTGGTAACATTAATGGCCCCACCAGTGGGTTGAAAATGCATTATATTTCTGACATATTGTATTTTTGGTTGCTTCTTCTGTTTCCTTATAGGGCGTCAACCACAGACTAAGAGGGAGTTTGACAGCTATTAAAACCAGGGCTCCACAGTTGGGAGGTGAGCAGACTTTTTCCATTTGTACTCTAGACTATTTTTCCTATTTACTTGAAGATGGAGCACTTCTTGTTTAGATTATACCAATCAGTGATTTTAGTTTTCTCTAACAGTGTGTCACAAGCTGTTATCCCTGTAGGTTCTTCTTGATTTATGGTTTATTTAAGAAGTTAACTTCAGTTGTATCCATTTGAAAATCTTGTCTCTGTCTTTCAAAATCTTTTTTTTTCTTCTTATCCAGAAGGAAGACAGTGTCTTTAATGATCATGTTTGTGAAAGTCAGGAATGATAGTTTCTGAGGTAACATAAAGCTAAAGAGAATGTGATCTGAAGGATTGGGGTTTCATAAGAGAGGAACTGATTGGGCTCTTCTCCAAGGTTAGTCTTCAGATATTTGTGGAGGTCAATGCAAAATTTGAAAATATTTGATTCATTACACCTTTTAAACTTGGTTATTCAGAGCCTGAGGAAGGGAGATGATAAAAAAAGCTTGGAGGTTATATTCACTTACAAAGGTTGGAGAGACAGTGTCTTAGTCATCTAGTGCTGCTATGCTGCTATAACAAATACCATGAGTGGATGGCTTTAACAAAGAGAAATTTATTCTCTCACAGTCTAGTAGGCTGTAAGTCCTAATTCAGGGCATCAGCTCCAGGGGAAGGCTTTCCCTCTCTGTTGGCTCTAGAGAAAGGTCCTTGTCGTCAATCTTCCCCTGGACTAGGAGGTTCTCCGTGCAGGAACCCCAGGTCCAAAGGACGCACTCCGCTCCCGGTGCTTCTTTTTTTTGTGGTACAAGGTCCCCAACTCTGTTTGCTTACCTTTCCTTTTATCTCTTGTAAAGTAAAAGGTGGTACAGGCTACACTCCAGGGAAACTCTCTTTACATTGGGTCAGGGATGTGACCTTAGTAAGGATGTTACAGTCCCACCCTAATCCTCTTTAACATAAAATTACAATCACAAAATGGACGACAGCTACGCAATACTGGAAATCATGGCCCAGCCAAATCGATACATACATTTTTGGGGGGGACACAGTTCAATCCATGACAGACAGTATGTGAGATATGAAAAAGACTTTATTCTTTCAGTCATTTCTTAGAAATTTTGTGGGTCAAAAGACATATCCTTCTTTTTGTTTTTAGCATATTTTTCTTTGAAGGATACTAGCTAATAGCTAACATTATTGAGTGCTTATTACGTGCCTGGCACTATGCTAAGTGTTTTACAGCATTATTTCATTTAATCCTCATAGAAACCCAAGAGGTAAGTACTATTATTATCTCCATTTTCCAAACAAGGAAATTGAGGGTTGAAGTGATGAGTATATCCTTTTCCTTTTCTTCCCTCTAATAATTATACCCCATGAAAAGTAAATAGTGACAAATTTTCGTTTGTTTTAATGATTACCATACTATTCAAAATGATACATAGTACTAAAGTACACACCAAACCCTAAACCTCCAGTATACACAGAAGTCATGCAGGTTTTTACATGTTTCTGAGAGGCTGCTTATATCACCTTAGCATTTTCAGTGAGTAAAAAACAATCAGGTAACTGTCACAGCCAAGAGGAGCCTAAGGAGGCATGATAACTAAATGTAGTGGGGTATTCTGGATGAGATCCTGGAACAGAAAATGGACATTAGGTACAATCTAAGACAATCTGAATTAAGTGTGGACTTTAGTTAATAACGTGTTGATATTGATTCATTCACTGTGACAAATGTACCATATTAATGTTAGATGTTAATAATAGGGGAGACTGGGTGTGGGATATATGGGAACTCCCTGTACTATCTTCACAACCTTTCTGTAAATCTAAACCTATTCTAAAATAAAAAGTTTATTTAAAAAAAAAAATTACTGGACTAGAGGAAGAGTAAGTAGTGGCATGAGTGAATTGGAATCATCCATTTTGAGCCCCTGGGATCAGCCTTTTTAAGAAAACTCTTGAGAAATTCTTCTGGTGTCCTGAATTCTAAAATTATTGGGATGACATTTTCAATTTAGTTCAATGACTATTTACTGAGCTCTTTGAATCAAAATTCCGAGGGACAAGCAACATGGAAAAGTCACAGTCGTGTCCTTAAAGGTCTTATATTTTCATACTGGAAATAAGATGTTATGCTTTTGACATGTCCTCATTATTCTTTGAGTACTTCCTTGTATTTTGGAACAAAATATTCCAGGATCTTGTATTTCCCCTGCTGCAGCCCTAGATGCAGCCATTTCCAAGGAGCTCTGCTTTCTTTTAGTTGAGAATGATATTTAGAAGCAAAAATCCAGGCACTAAGTATGCTCATTATTATTGGGGTGTTGCTGTTCCCAGACAGTCTTAGGACTAGGGGATGTGTGTGTGTGTATGTTGTTGTTGTTAGGTGCCATCGAGTTGGTTCTGATTCAGCAACCCTGTGTACAACAGAATGAAACAGTGCCCAGTCCTGTGCCATCCTCACAATCATCGTTCATGCTTGAGCCCATTGTTGCAGCCACTGTGTCAGTCTGTCTCATTGAAGGTCTTCTTCTTTCACTGACCCTTTACTTTACCAAGCATGATGTCCTTCTCCAGGGACTGATCCCTCCTGATAACATGCCCAAAGTATGTGAGACATAGTCTTGCCCCTTTGCTTCTAAGGAGCATTCTGGTTGTACTTCTTCCAAGACAGATTTTTTTGTTCTTCTGGTAGTCCATGGTATATTCAATATTATTCACCAGCACCACAATTCAAAGGCGTCAGTTCTTCTTCGGTCTTCTTATTCATTGTCTAGCTTTCGCATACATATGAGGTGATTGAAAACACCATGGCTTGGGTCAGGTGCACCTTAGTCTTCAAGGTGACGTCTTTGCTTTTCAACACTTTAAAGAGGTCTTTTGCAGCAGATTTGCCCAGTGCAGTGGGTCTTTTGATTTCTTGACTGCTGCTTCCATGGGTGTTGATTGTGGATCCAAGTAAAATGAAATCCTTGACCACTTCAATATTTTCTCCGTGTGTATGTGTAGATATATAAATACACATATACCACATATATATGCACACACAAATTTGTATTTATTACTGTGTATCTATCCATACTGAAAACCATGAGTTCACGTTAATTCTTTTAATTCCAGTCCAGCCTTGCAGGGGGCATTCTTATTTTGTCCCTTTTTCATATTTATACTTCCCTATTTGCTCTGCTTGGGCTCTGGCACTCTATACCAGGTGGCCGTTCCAAATGGATACATTTGTAACACTCCATACCAGGCCGTCCTTCCTTGTGGATCCCTCCTCACTCTGCTCGGGCTCTTGACCCCTTGTGCTAGGCTGCCCGGGTGCATGGACACCCTTCTCACCCTGCTTGGACTCCAACTCTCTGCTCTCGTTAATAACTGTAGCTTACTCTAGCAGAGATTTCAGACTCTTATGAGGAATTGGAAGAGTCTTTGAAGAGTTTGGTGAGGTAATTCTAATATACCTAGATATATCTCTCCCAAGGCATAGATTTACTAAGTTGCAAGAATGAAATGGTTTAAGTGCAGAGGAATCTGTTGATTTAGGGTTGTTGTAAGTTTCATGCTTGAGAAATATAAAAGGATAAAAAGGAGGAAGGAAAGGTAATTTCTATCCCCTTTATGTTCCGTAATTCTTACTATTTGTATTGTTCATTTGGCACGTAAGCATGTATTGGTTTGTGTCTGTAGTACATTTCCAGAATAGTTGGGTTTCTTTTGTATTTTCATAGAATAGGTGTTCAGTGACACTTAATGAAGAAAGAAAAAAATAGAGGTAAAGTAGAGCTATTAAAAAAAGAGGAGAGAAGGAGGAGAAAGCAGGGTAGTTTTGTTTGTTGCTTTTTAAACAGGGATATATTGTCCTGAAAGGGGACTTGAATCTTTTTAGACATATACAGCCTAACTTTCTTTTAGGCCTGGCTTATTTCTTTTAGGCTTTGGGCCATTGCTAATTTTCCAGCTGTTATAATACAACCCAGGCCTTTATTAAAAAGATAAGTATTCTGATTTTTGCTTAGTGCTTATTCAAACTTGTGTTTGTAGGTATTTGTTTGGAGTTTGAGAGTTTTTAGAGTAGAGTGAGTGTTGTTATTTAAACTTATTTTTGACTATAACATTTTAAATATAAGATGAAAAAATTACATTTAAATTTGTATTGTATCTTTTTTTCTTTTTTTAATAAAATAGGCAGCTTTGCAGTTTGGGGAGGTCTGTTTTCCATGATTGACTGCAGTATGGTTCAAGTCAGAGGGAAAGAAGATCCCTGGAACTCCATCACAAGTGGTGCCTTAACAGGAGCCATACTGGCAGCAAGAAGTAAGCAGTAGCATGGATGTAAATGGTGATTGAAGGGGAAAAAATATTTAAGAGGATCTATTTAATTGGGTGTTGGAGAATGAGAGAGCATAGTGTTCTTACTTTTTTACTTTACAGTTGTTAAAGCACTCCAAGTGTCAGTTCTGCCATTTATTAGCCGTGTGACTGGGCAGTTTACCAAACTTTTTGTGCTGTAGTTTCCTCATTGGTACTCTGAAATTAATAATAGTACTTGTCACAAAAGGTTGTTATGAATAAAGAGCTTAGAATCATCTTCTGGATCTTTGGGACAGAGAGCAACCCAGAATTTTTTTTGGACTTTGTGGTCTAGGCAAGATGTTTGCAAACTTTTTCTGTGAAGAACTAGATAGTAAATATTTTAGGCTTTGTAGGCCGTATGATCTTTGTCACAGCTACTCTGCTGTCATAGTGTGAAAGCAGCCTTATTGTTGTTAGTTGCCGTTGAGTCAGTTCCAACTCATGGTGACCCCCAAGTGTGCAGAGTAGAACTGTTCCATAGGGTTTTCAGGGCTGTAACCTTCCCAGAAGCAGAACACCAGGCCTGTCTTCCGAGGAGCCTCTGGGAGGGTTTGAACCACCAATCTTTTGGCTAGTAGACATGTGCTTCATGTTTGCGCCACCCAGGGACTCTGACAGCAGCCATAGATGATACAGAAATGAGTAAGCATGACTGTTCCAATTAAACTATTTACAAAAACAGGTGGCAAGCTGGATTTGAGCTGCGAGCTATAATTTGCTGACCCTTGGTCTTGGCCAGTGAGAAAGAGAAGGTTTGTAAACTGAAGGGTCATGTAGTCATATGGACAGCTCTTTCCTTTATTATATTTTACATTACACTAGATTTCTATTAAAGTAACCTTTTTGTTACTAATATCTTCAGATGGACCAGTGGCCATGGTTGGGTCAGCTGCGATGGGCGGCATTCTCCTAGCTTTAATAGAAGGAGCTGGTATCTTATTGACAAGATTTGCCTCTGCACAGTTTCCCAATGGTGAGTCTTCTTTCTGCTTACTATCATAGTTCAAACATTTTGGAGTAGTTTCCTGATGTTTAGAGAGAACATATTTTATCTGCTAAAATGTGATTAGTTTATAGTTTCTACATTATATATTAATATGCAGTGTTCATGAGGATTATGATAATAGATTGGTTTATTTGAAAAGGTAGATATGGGTGCAATCACTATGTTTATGGATAGGTGAGATCATTTCAGACAGTGTTGAGTACTGTGAAGAAAATAAAGTGGTAGAATGTTTGGGAGGACCACTTTAGGGTTCACAGGGAAAGTCTCTTTGAGAATTTGTTGCTAATTGTTCTTATCTAATGGAGAAAAGTTAAATTGTAAGCTAAATGATTATTACATGGTCATGTAATATCTGCTTAGTTGTTATCTTGTGCTGTTTCTTATAACTGTAAAGACTTCAGTTGTCATTTTGATCAAAGTTTCTATAGAAGAATCCTGATCAAAAGGGGGGAAATGCAGAACAGAATTTCAAATTCACATGGACTCCAGACTTTCTGGAGCCCTAGAAGGTGGGTGGATGAACCCCTGAAACTATTGCCCTGAGATAATCTTTCAATCTTAAACCAAAAATATCCCCCTGAAGTCTTCTTAAAACCAAACAGTAGTTTAGCTTAACTAGTAAAATTGTCTGCCTTGAGCAGTATGCTCTTTTAAGAACTACCTATAGTCCTTAAATTGACAACAGCAACTCAAAAGATTAGATAGGAACCTTAATGGGCAGTGAGTTTATGTTAATGGGGGAGGAACAACTCGGGAAAGGAGGGTGAGAATGGTTGTACACCTCAAAGAATATAATCAGCGTCACAGAATTTTACACGTAGAAACTGTTGAATTTATGTGTGTTTTGCTGTGTATATTCTCAACAGCAACAACAACCCAAAAAAAGCTTAGTTGTCTAAATCAGAATATTCCATGACATTAGAAGGAAGCAGAAGGATATTGTGAAGATCATAGTGGTGAAAACTTGACCTGGTATTGGGGGAGGAAATACGCAGAATAGTGAGATATGTTGAAAACAGGGCTTTGAATGGGTTCAAAACGGTTCAGTAATTGCCGTTGTAATAATGTTGCTCTCCAAAAGTCCTGCCACAGTCCTTCCTTCTGAAAGTTCCAGGAGCCTGATGTGGGCAGATTGAATTGTTGGCAGGACTGTGGAGAGTAACACACATACAAAGCAGCATGGTTGGCCATCATCTTTGAGTAGGGCACAGTGTTTCCTACTCCAGTCAGAATCCAACAGGCAACAGATTTGGTTGCTATGCAACACGTAAGTAGCCCTTATGACGTCATTTACTGAACCGTTTTAAACCGGTTCAAAGCCCTAGTTAAAAATTATTTTGGGATCTCGGAAAGGATTCAGCATAGAGTTAGGAATAGATCATACCTCCCAATTTGATTTGATTTCCCTGAGGCACCTAGAGAGAGAGTCAGTATCTTCTTGGCACAATTTTCACACACACTGGTCCCTAGATGATCTAGATGACCTCATGAACCCTCCCAGCTTATGTTTTTACTTTTCAGTCATTACTTCTGTGTTAACACTATTATGATGGCCACTTTCTAATTTTGCTTTTCAGTTTGTTTTTACCTCTTTAGTGTGTGAAAGAGTTCAAATATAACATCTAAAGAGTTCTATATTTTTAGAACTTCAGAAATTGATAGAATATTTACATTGTCATATAGAAATTAGCCTTGGTCTTGGTTACCTTGCTTTAGGCTTTTTTTCTCCTTTTGAGTGAACAGAACTTAGCATTTAGAAGTAGGCTAAGAGAAGTGCATTTTATTTTAGAAAGGAAATGTAGTTCTGAAAAGCTAATAGGAGGAAAATCTTTGAAAAGTTAACTGTATTTTCCCAATTAACTTGCATGAAAAAGTTCTTAAAACAATTAGATAGAAATGTCTGTAAATAATAACAATGGTTATCTTTATCTTTTCACCCAGTAGCTTCTCAAGTTTTCATAGTGAACAGGTACTGCTTTTATAGTGAAATAAAAATGTATCATTGGAGTAAGACACTTGGAAATCTTCAGGGGATTTTACCACCGCCCCTTTTCTGTCTTCCTTCCAGATATTTTTTAGTCTGCTTCAGTTTCCCTAAAGAAAAAAAGAATGATTATTTCCACAAAAGCCTTTTTTAAAGAACCACAGTTTTTACTTAGTTTGCAGGTCTTCCCATTCTTTGAAAACTAAAGATTGCAAGACTGTTCTACAGCGAGTTGGGATGGGGGATATCTCCCATTTCAGAGCTCATTCTCTATTTAATTGGTTGTATAAATTGGATTACCGAGTTCTCTCAAAACATGACTAAGACACCTATGCTTTGTGACAATAATTTTAATAGCTACTGAAAAATATGTCAAGAGGTGGGAGAGAATTCTTCCAGTCTTGATATGTGGCAGCTTTTTACAGCAATTGCTTTAAAAACTTGAACATTGCTTCTTGCTATAATTAATCCATCTGACTTCCCTGGCGTAGCATTTGAGAGCTGTTCATTGTGGAGCATAAGGGAAGCCAGCCCGTCGTCTGTTATACCACATTTGAAGGTTCTCCAGTACTCTCATGGGAATTAGGCAAATCTAGAAAGAAATTCAGATTACAGCTCTAATTTAGCACATTATTTTTATTGAGTTGATTGATTTACTCTCCACAGAGACTTGCTCTTTTTAATTACATCATTTTCAGAAGATTTTTTTTAAATATGTTTTATTTTTGGTGGCAGTATACACAACCAAACATACATCCATTCACAGTTTCTGTACAAACAGTTCAATAATATTGGTTATATACTTCACCTTATGTTATCATTCTGTCTCTACTCATATTGTTTGATCACCATTAATTTAGGCTCTCAGCCTTTTAAAGTTCTCATCTGTGCTTTAGATGATTCACAGTTTCTGTACAAACAGTTCAATAATATTGGTTATATACTTCACCTTATGTTATCATTCTGTCTCTACTCATATTGTTTGATCACCATTAATTTAGGCTCTCAGCCTTTTAAAGTTCTCATCTGTGCTTTAGATGATTCACAGTTTCTGTACAAACAGTTCAATAATATTGGTTATATACTTCACCTTATGTTATCATTCTGTCTCTACTCATATTGTTTGATCACCATTAATTTAGGCTCTCAGCCTTTTAAAGTTCTCATCTGTGCTTTAGATGAATTGCTATCAGTTTACACACAGAGAGAGAATTCTTTATAAGAGTGCTATGCTTGAGGCAGACATTCTTTATTAGTTGAGCTAAACTGTTGTTTAGTTTAATGATGGCGTCATGGGATAGTTTCAGTTCAGGGTTTAAAGATTATTTCCAAGCATTAGATTTGAGGGCTCCCCCAGTCTCAGTGGATGCAGTAAGTCTGGTTTCCATAAGTGTTTGAAGTTCTATTCCATGCTTTTCCTCCTTTTGATCAAGATCCATCTATTGGGTCCTTGATCAAAATGCTCAGGAACAGTCATATTCAGATAATTTTAAAAATACTTTTATTTCTTAATTGCAGGTCCTCAGTTTGCTGAAGATCCCTCCCAGTTGCCTTCAACCCAGCTGCCACCCTCACCTTTTGGAGACTATCGACAATATCAGTAGGACTAGTGCCCTAGGATTTAGCAGAATGAGCTCAAGTTCAAGAAGGATTTTGGAAGACCAAGTTACAGTCTGTTTTTAAAACCATAGGTGGGACAGCTGTGGCCCAGCAGGCTGTAAGAAGACATTTAGCACTTTTTTTCTATTTAAAAGAACATGGAGGGGAGAGGTATTAAAAGATAATACATTTATTTATTCACACTTTGATTGCATTTGTGATCAAAATAAATGTCTAATATCCTAAAAAGAAAATATAATGAGTGTTTAGAAGATGAAGGACCAGAGGACAAATAACAGTGAAACATGACCATCATTTCCTTGGGAACGTCTCTGCCTGGTTTTGTGTGTTCTGTTATTCAAACAATAAAAACTCCTGGAACTTGCTCTTTCTTTTAATAGAAGTTGTAGAGTTCTACTTTTAATCCTCAAATACTTCAAATAATGCAAAGTACATTTAAAACTGCATGTTTTGTAGTTAGTACATCATCCCACTTGCAGTGAATTGTGTATGAGAAGAATTACGTGGAGTCAACATGGATCATTCCGCAGTAAAACACTGTATGCACAAAAGGTTATGGTAAAATGTTTGTCCTTTACTTGGAAAGTAAAATATGCTGTGTCTTGGTTTTGAGGATGCTGGCTGCAGACCTCTTACCTTTAGGGCTTCTGTGTCTTGATTCCTGATCATCAGAAACAATTTGCTTCCAGTATACCTGGTTCTGTATAAGAAGAATTGATAGAGGGTACTGTTGGCGTTGGAGAAGTTTTGTGTTTATTGTGTGCTTGAAAATAAAATATATGCTGTTTTTAATGTGTTTCAAGTCCCCTGGAGCTGATCTTCATAAAGGGTGTATTTTGGGATCTGGTTGGACCTGGAAGATAGATTAGCATTTTAGAATAGGTCATTTTTCTGATTGTGTTGGAGTGACATGTGGCCTTACAGAAGGCATATTAGTAATTCCCCATTTGCCTACATTGGTGTGTGAAAAGGAGAACAAATCTGAGTGTGTACTGTGAGCATACATTTATCTTCCAACCCAGCGCCGTGCGCCAAGCCAAAACCCACTGCTGTCAAGCTGATTCCAGCTCCTAGCGACCCTCTAGGACAGAATAGAACTGCTCCGTAGGGTTTCCACGGCTGTAATCTTGACGGAAGCAGACTGCCACAACTTTCTCCTGCTGAGTGGCTAGTGGGTTCCAACTGCCGACCTTTTGGTTAGCAGCCGACCATTTTAACCACCAGGGCTCCTTGGGTCACACACAGTAATTGTGGTTTCATCATTTGTTTTTCAAGTGTTCTAGGTCATTATAAATTCAAAAAGATGTATTTCAGGAGAGCAAATCCAAGTGTGTCGAGTTGCAGAGAGAATGCTTTGATTTCTTAAGGTCTCCTGAATTCTTCTCATTTAAGTGGTGCATCAGTTGGGAAAGAAGTTCTTTTCATACGAATTCTGATTCTTTGAGGACTGTGTATGTGTGATGCTGGTATGTTTTGGGTTCACTCTGGTGTCTTCCAACTCAGCATATGTGATGCAGTCCTTAGTTACAGATGAATTGTCTGGAATTAATGATGGGGTGAAAGAGAGGAAGGCTGTAAAAGATGGCAAACCTGTTCTTTTCAAAGGGCTTTAAATTTTATTCTACCATGGGCAGGACACTAAGTTGAAACCCGTATAAAAACATTTCCAGTTACGTTTCCCAGGCTTCCTGCCTCTCTGCTTGGCTGGTAGCCTCCTTTATCCTATAGTAAGAGAGGCTCTGCTCTTGTGGAAAGACTTTCCATCCTTGGTGCTCGGGCTTGGCTTAAAGGCAGTGGGTCAGACTTACCCTGTTGTATGCCAGTCTGGAGACAGGAGGTAGAAGAAAAGAGAAACAAGTTTTATTCCTTTTATCTTCTGCTTGAAACCCTAAGTACCATCTGTGGTGTTCCCTGCATAGGTGTTTTATAAGCAGCCAAGAGCTTTTGCTTGTGCTGTTTTCTCTGCTTCGCCCCCCTCCCCCCTTTGATTTTGCTGGCTCATTCCTGGTGGTCTTCTAAGTCCTAACTGACGTTTTCTCTGCAGCCTTCTCTGAGTGCTGGTTGGGCCGAGTCTCCTTTCCCTGTCCTGTTTTCATAGCTAGCATGGTAGGTAGGGATTGTCAGGGTTTTTGGGTTTTTTCCTTTTTTCCTCCCCTTCCTACTTTTCCCCCCAACATTTTATTATGAAAAATTTCAAACTTGCAACAAAGAAATACCTTTTTAAAACACTGATTGGAATGTTTAATAATTATTCTGAAACTAAATTTCGCATACTAGAATCGGGCCCAGGATAGACTGTCATTACCAAAATTACTGACTGAAGAAATAAGGAGAGGAGAAGGTTTTTCCTAGGTTTTTCCTGGAATATTGGAGTTAGAGCCTCAGTGTCAAGGCTAAACGCCCATCAAAAGACCCCATCTGCTTCTCCCTTATTTTCTTGGTATCTGACACTTAGTGTGAAATTGGCTTGTAATAGATGATTTGTGAATCAGGATTTGGAAGACTTGTGGGTACAGCTGCATCTGTTATTGAAAATGCATCTGTTTTCATGTCTGAAATGTCTGCACGTTGTGACAGCACGGTCATAGCTCCACCCTGTGGTGTGTCAGTTTTAGTTAAAACTCGTAAATTCAACTCAGTCTCTTAGATAAACAGCAAACCGTGCAGCCAGTTTTTATAAATAAGTTTTACTGGGACATACCCACGGGCATTCAAATATGAATTGTCTGTGGCTACTTTCTTGCTGCAATAGCAGAGTTGAGTAGTTATGACGGAGACTGTATGGCCCCCAACCAAAACCAGAGAAGACGCAGGACTGCATCTCAATAGTTGATGAAACTGAATTTCTTGAGGACAGGAATCACATTTAGCGTTGGTCCTTTGTAAGTATTTAGTGCATTAATAAATTATAGACAGATGTATCTCTATCTGATGCTTTTTAAAGAAATATATTATTAGATATCTCAGACATAGAAACAAAGAAAAAGGTCCATTGACCTTGGGTCGATTCTGACTCATAGTGACCTTATAGGACAGAGTAGAACTGCCCCAGGGGTTCCAACCTGTAAATCTTTCTGAAAGCGCACTGCTACACCTTTCTCCTGCAGAGTGGCTGGTGGGTTCAAATCACAGACCTTTCAGTTATAGCCAAGTGTTTAACCACTGTGCCACCAGGGCTCCTTGTTTCAGACATACAAAATATATAAAAAATAAATATCCAGTTTATCAATTATTTCTTTTATGGATCATGCTTTTGGTGGTGTACTTAAAAACTCTGCCTTGCCCAGCATAAGAAAGAAGCTTATTCAGACAGTTGAAGCCTCTTGTGCACTGCTTCCTGATTTCATTCACCTACCTCCCCACAGGAGTTAACTATTATCCTGAATTTGGTGCTTATCATTCTGATGTATTTGTGTGTGAATGTGCGTGTGTGTGTGTGTGTGTGTGTGTGTGTGTGTGTGTGTATTTTCACTTGTTTTATTTTGAGATAATTTTAGACTCACATAAAAGTTGCAAAAATAGTAGAGTCCCAGTATGCCTTTCACTCAGCTTCACTCAGATGTTAACATCTTTATATAACTATAGAACAGCTATCAAAACAAAGTGTTCGCATTGGAATTGATAAGGGTAATGGTTGAACATAATTGTTACTGAACTATACATGTGAAGATTGTTGGAATGTTAAATGTTTTGTTACATAGATATTTGCCACAATGAAAAAGAAAAAAATATTCACATTGGTTACAATACCATCAACTAAACTACAGACTTCATTTGGATTTTGCCAGTTTTTCCGTTTCGGGCATCAATCCAGGGTCTCGTATTCCATAAATTGTCATGTTGCCTTAGTCTCCAATCTGTGAGTTTCTCAGCCTTGTCTTTTGTGACCTTAATAACTTGTGAAGAGTAGTGGTCTATTGTTTTGTAGAAATTCTCAATTTGGGTTTAGCTAATGTTCCTATGATCCTTGTGCTTGATTAAAGTGACGCATTATTGGAAAGGATACCGCAGAAGTGGTAGTGCCTTTCTCGGTGTGTGACATCAGCGGTAGAGGGTGTCTGTGTGTATTACTGGTGATATTAACTTTGATGATTTGATTAAGGTGGTATCTGCTGGCTTTCTCCATTGTAAAACTACTGTTTTTCCCTTTGTAATTAATAAATCTTTGAGGGAAGATACTTTGAGACTATGTGACTATTCTGTTTCTGCTTAAACTTTTGCACACTAATTTTGGCATGTGGTATTCTAATAGTGATTTTCTGTTTCTCTCATTCCTTCTATATGTATTTATTGGAATTCTGCTGTAAGGAAGCATTGTCTTTTCTTCCTCATTTATGTATTTATTCAGTTACTTAAATCAGTATAGACTTATGGGCATTTCTTTTATTTTGGGTGTATAACCCAATACTATCATCATTTATTTGCCCAAATTGTTCTGAGTTTGGCCATTGGGAGGAGCTCGTTCAGGTTGACTCCTGTGCGCCTTCAGCATTGCTTTTTGTTTGCGTTTTGTTTTTGAGCAATTCCTTTCTAGCACCACAAGATGCTCCGGTCTCATCTGCATTTTCCCTGCCCAAACTCTGGAATCAACTTCTCTAAAGAGACCTAGTTCCTTTTATTGGAGAATGTTATTTAGAAACCAAAATCTGGGTGCTAGGTATGCTCATTGCTACTAGACCCTTTCTGTGGATAAAGCTGGAAAATATATGTAGTACACTAACCCATGCATGTACACTTCTGTATTTATCTCTGTATCTATCCATGTGTATACAAAACAAAAACCATGAGTCCCTCCAACTCCAATCCAGCACCAAAGGATTCAGTCTAGCTTTCTCCCTTATTTGCAACTTCTTTCTCCAACCAGAAGGCTGACTCTCATTATCTATAATAATTTGCTTATTTGTTCAATCCTAGTTACATAAAAAGTAGTTTCAGAATTGCTAGAACATTCATTTATGAGAAACAAGTTTGCCAACCAGAGTACAGTGTTCTGCAGTTTTTTGTTTTTAGCCTTAAAACACTGTTTCCCAAAGCTATTGAGGTCTACTTCTTTCTGCCCCACCCCCTTCAGAGTGGTTATGTGATTTATCGTAATGGTTAGGTTCATTTGTCACAGTCTGCATTCCATCTTTTGCCCACATCCTAGTTGATATTTTTTTGGTAAATTTACATTCAGTAAATTTCACTGTTTGTGATACACCACTGTATGGATTTTGACAAACGCATAGGTTTGGGGATCCACCACCACAGTTTTACATAGAACAATTACATCACCCCAAGAATTTCCTCCTACTGCCCCTTTACCGTCAACTCCTCCCCCTACTCACTTCAACCCTTGGCAACTATGATGTGTTTTCCATCTCTCTAGTTTTACCTTTTCAAGAGTAGTGTAAGTGGAATCATACAATACGTAGTCTTTGGGTCTGGCTTCTTTCATTTGCCAAAATGGTTTGTAAGATGCATCCATGATGTATGAATCAATAATTTGTTCCTTTTTATTGCTGAGTAGTATTGTACTATCCCATATCTGTATCCGTATCGTAGTTTGCTCATCCATTCACCAGTTGAAAGATACGGAGATTGTTTCTAATTTTTGGCAATCATGAATGAAGTTGCAATGAATGTTCACTTACTGTTTTTTTTGTGAACATGTTTTCATTTCTTTTGGGTAAATACCTAGGAGTAGGATTGCTGGGTCATATGGTAGGTATGTGTTTAATTTTATAAGAAGCTGTTGAAGTTTTCCAGACTGACTGTACCACTTTGCATTCCTACCAGCAGTGTATGAAAGTTCTGGC